TGCTTTGGGTGACTAGTAGATTTTTTCAGCTGTAATAAGGTTTTGCCTGGTAAAGCTCCTTTAAATAGCACGGATATGAAATCAGTTCAGAGTCAGGGAATATAAAACCTTACGAAGAAGAGAAGGAAGAAAAAGCCCTGAATGAAGCAGAACCAACCACATCTTCATCAGGAAAAGGATTTCCATAGTCAGATCTGACACTTGTCCTGAAGAAAAAAAAACAAAAAACAAAAAACAAACAAAATTATCAAACTAACCTAATTCCTAACAGAGTAACCTAATTCTTAACAGAGTCATTGGCAGTTATCAGAGCAGGGAAGTCATTCCTGGCACACAGAGCGCTCTGTATCTGGCTTTGCTTAGTGCTCTGCATGTCGTTTTATTTTGTTAGTTTTTTTCTTTGCCCTTGCCCGTCTTGTTATAATGAAAGTTCACTTGGCAGCTGATGAGGAAAGGAAAACAAGACCAGTTCTAAAGCTGAGTGACTAAGCAAGAAAATATATGCAAACCCATTTGAAGGTCTTGGAAAATCCAAACATGGTTTCACTCCGCTCCCTGACCGGTTAAGCAAAAAAAGGCTAAAAGAACCTGAAAGCTTTCATGCTCAACATCCAAAAGTTGGCAAGTGCCAGAATTAACACAGAATATGCACAAGAAAGCCTGGACTGGGATCAAAAAAGCAGTACAAAGGTCTCTGGCTGCAGAAGGACCAGGTTCACCGGTGGCTACCGAGCTGCACGCAGCTTACAAGCGGTTCACAGGGGACTCCAAGGGCAGGGCTCTGCCGACACAGACGCTGGCAAGCGTCACCGTTCCTGCAGCAATGGATGCCGGTATGGACAGGCCGGGCTGGAGACCATAGCAGATATGCGATAACGTATCGCTGTCGACTGTGGTGGCACAGACCAGCCTTGCGTCGTTTTGGCCATGCCTGCCCCAGGGCCGGCAAACGTACAAGGCAGGCACCTGGGAACAGGAGCCACTTCACCAAGCTCAGTGAAGTCTGCCCTTCAAAAAAGCCGAAGCTTTCAGACAGATATTAAAAAACAAACCCAGCCAGTGTAATTACCGCTTCCTTCGTGCTTGTAATTCACTAGTCATCCCTTTTTCATCACATGAACGACATCGCTGTCAGAAGTTACTGCCTGAGGACCTAGACTGAAACCGGCTCTGCAATCACATTAATGGGTCTCTGTGCAGATGCAGGAGCGGAGTTTAAATTAGCTTTCAAATTATTTTACCAAATAATAAAAGCAATCATTAAGAAGTGAAACACTTCAACAACAACTAATCACTAACAATTAAAAACATAAAAGTAATCATTTCATTCTACAGACTTGACAATTTTAGCAGGGAATTAGCATTGAACGTAGGTGACTGCAAATGAAACGCTATCGAAAACCAACAGCGTACTGAAACGCGTACGCCTTAAAGGCTTCACCTTAGCCTGTATGACTAAAGCGTAGCTGTACGTATGTGGCTATACCGATAAGCTTGCAGGTCTTCCCTGTACATTTCAACAACACTCACAAGTTAAGCAAGATCAAACTTTGGTTTTCACTCTTGACATATACAAAACATCCTTAGCAAAACTACTGCATCTCCATGATAGACAAGTTCAAACTTTCCCAAGAATAACACCCCGAAACTATTAAGAGTACAGCTCTTGCTGTGGTGTTACAAAATCTTTAGTGTCTTCCAGGCCCATGGGCAGGAGCGTTTGCGGTTCAGTTCTCCTTTTTCTCTCCGCTCACCTCTGTCAGAGCTCTGGCCCCTTTCTGGAGCCACAGCAATTCCCCAGAAGACAGTAGTACCATGAGAGCTGCGACGGCAAAGAGCGCGACCTTGGCACAGCCCGTTTCCAGCCTTCTCCCATTGCTAGCACTGGAAGGCCACATGTGAAATACATCCCTGTGCTGAGGGAAAGACATAGCCATGTTGAAAAGCCCAAAATAGGCCAGAGACTGGTATTATGCAAACCAGGGTGGCATAAAACTGAATTATTTTGTTACAATTCAGTATCGCCTACATGCAGAAGCACAGTATATCACAGCATCCTCCCCTCACTCAGTGTTTTTAATGAGATTATGGTGGGGTAGCAGCTGCACCCGTCATAAACCTATCTGCTCTTCAACTGAAAGTTACAGGACTTGCGTAGTATTTCTGGCTACCTTTGCTCCAAGGTTTTTAGGAGCCACTGGACACTGAAAGCACCATTACACATGCACAAGATCACAGTGACCATTTCTCTGCTGAAATCTTGGTACGAGGACATTTGTGACCTAAATGGATTGCTAAGAGCATCATCTAAGAGGCTAGTTGCATAGGAACCATAGCGAGCAGAGAATTCGGCTACTCTCAGGCCTCAGAGGAAATACTTACTGATACAGCAAAATCACTTCTGCATACAGTGATGCACATACAAAAGCTTCAAGTTATACAAATAAATTCTCCCAAAGTACCCATTTTATGTCAGTCACACACCCACGTGATGTCATCACATATACATGCTCCTCATCTAATTAAATGTTTTCCCTATTGAAAAACAAAAAAACCAAAATCACAGGATCATTTCACAGTGATGCCACTTAAAACTTCTACACTGTGAAAACTGTAGAGACTAATAGAGGCAAAGCGTATTATAACTGAAGGCTTTTATTTAGAACTTTGCATATAGATTTGTTCTTATCTGAATCTCAATTATATTCCAGGGCTTTTATATTTTTCTCAGAAAGCAAGTGTCTTTGCTATATATAATTTCCTCTTAACAACTGTGTCCTACAAGAGACAGCAGTGTTCTGCGTGTTTATTTGCTGTAAAGGCAGAAGTGAGAATTACTCATCAGGCACCAAGTCAACTACAAATAAGCATGTATGCCTGTAAGCATCAAGCAAGTATTCGCAACAATTTCGGATTTGGTTAAAAAAAAATGTTAACAGCTGCTTTTAATTAAGATGGGTTAGTTTTTCCTAGCCCTCAATAAATAGAAAGCGTAAGGCATGTGGAATCCAAATTCTTTAATGGAGCTGCAGCTAAAAAGCACCGTCTGCCATTTACCCCGCGATTTCAACCGGGACCTTTTCCTTCATCGGCTGCAAAAATTTCACCTCCCCCAGAGGAGCACCAGCCAGCCGCCCGTAGGCGCCGCCCGGGCACCTACAGGGCGGCAGCGGGCGAGGCGGGCCGGCCGGGGGGGGGGGGG